GCCTCGGTTACAGTCAAGGTGAGACTGAAGCATGACACTGTGCTACTGCACAGCCACGGACCCTGCTGAAGTCGCTGCTCCGGCCCCCGGCCAGGTGTGTGCACTGCACATGTCTGCGTGCCGGTCAACAGGCTGCACTCTTCTGAGTGTGTTGTCTGGTGGCCCTCCTGGGTGGCTTCTCTTTCATGTCTTGGTGGCTCTATCTCGAGGGCTCGACTCACTTCCAGACCTCCTACAGCTCACAGGGACCCCTTCTGCACCCCGGGAAAGCCCAAGGGCTGGACAGGCAGTAGTCCTCAGCCCTCGAGGATCCAGGGTAGCCGGGCTGCCATTTACATCCCTACTTTATGCTGCTGTGCCCTGGGTTCTTCCAGTAAGACAGAGTTTTCCCAAACACTCTGTTGGGAAAACGGATACAAGTTTCTTCATCCTGGGCCCTCTTAACATAAAGGGGGAATCTATGTTCTACTTCCACCCCCAGATTCTTTCTGGAGTTTGATGCAATGCATATCCGTTAGGGGCTGAATTGTGTCCCTCATGTTTCTATGTTGAAGCCTCTAACCCCAGTACTCAGAATACGACTGTATTTGGAGATGGGGTCTTTAAGGACATAATTAGATTAAAATGAGTCTGTTAGGGTGGGCCCTTCCTCGGTCTGACTGGTGTCTTTCTAAGAAGAGGGAATGAAGATAGAGAAAAGCTCACGCGAGGACACGGAGGAAGGGTGTCGTCTTCAGGCTGAGAAGGGAGGCCTCAGGAGAAACTGACTCTCCAGCATCTTGATCTTGGACTTCCAACCTCCAGGGCTGTGAGGAATGCAATTCTGTCCTCTGTGCCACCCAGGCTGCGGTATTTTGCATGACAGCCCTAGCAAACCAATACAACATCCTTCCCTGAGTTGCAACTTCCTCCCGTCCTTCTAAGAGCTTTGTCTTCTTATGTGTAGTTCGTTTATAGTCTCTCTAGGCAGGGTGCTGGGAGGGGAACCTGTTTCCCGGACTCATATGCTCCTACCAATGTCTTTGGCTTCACCCTCCTTGGCATTTTGAATCTTCTGTTTGAGAATCTGTAAACTTTGTTTCACTCGTTCCAATGGGAGTGGTTGGAGGAAGACAAAAGGAACATGATATTTGAAGTTCCAGATGTCAAGTACCATACATATGTCACAGATTATCCCACCATAAATGGGGTGCATCTGCATAAATGGAGGTGTTTCCCTCCCACCCCCAGCCCCGGGAGAGTCCGTCATCTACTTCAAATTCTCAAAGGGGTTGATGACCCTGAAATGTGAAGATTCATCACCCTATTGTTTCTCAAACATGATTTGTTTTCAAATGTGTAATTTATGTACATTTTAGAAATATATTATGTAAATGAAAACAGTAAGTTTATCTTCAATAAATGTAAATGGTATCATGCTCATTTCCTTCATTAAAATATCCTCATTTAGTTTGTCATAAAAAAAGTAGCTAAAGTAAACTGCCTGTGAAATATTTGACTCTTTCTGCTCATCCAGTCCCATGTCAAGAGGTCATAAAACCACGTTGCTCCTTCAGCCATGTTGCTCCGTCTTAGACACCACCATCAGCAAGAGGCAGGCCACCTCGGTCGACATTTAAGCATGCACCTGGGTTCACACACACAGATGTCATTGCTGCTACGCTTCTCCTCCTGTGCCCATCTGCCTTTTGTGCTGGCGTTAATAGAATGAACAAGGATTAAGAGATGACAATGGCCAGCAATGACCTAATAACCTCCCCGCTTCCTGGGAATGTTTATCCTTTTCCTCCTGCCTCAGCATGACGGCCACTGTCCACCTGGTTAAGACAGGAGCTGCAGCGAGAATGTGACTTCCCCTCCATCCCCTAGCCTTGGGTGTCTGCACGGGAGTTGGGCAGCTCCTGGGACTTTTTGAGAATTTGGAACTGGCCTGTAGATTGTGAAGTTCAAGAGCTTTTAGTAACTATGCAACTTGGTGCGCTCCAGAGAAGTAGAAAAGCCTGCTATTGGAGGGAGAGAGCTCGAGGGGTGAGAATGAGGAAGAACAAAGCAGTTGGGAGGAGGGGGAGATGCAGTCCCGATGGCATGTCCTGGTTTCCAGTTGTCACCGATGCCCAGCTGCATTCCTGTTCTGAGTGCTGGGGACAGCCAGGTTCTTTTACGATAGTTTTCCCCTTTTACTAAAGCTGGGTGAAACCTCTATTTCTAAGAACATTCCCCATTAATTTAAATACACATATACACACTTGCACAAATGAGATCATCTTAATGTACGAATATCAAAGCTGCACTCTTCCAGTATTAAGTTCTTCAAAACTGGGATGAGGACAATGGCTTGATCTGCAAAGTTATTGTTCATATAAATGGACAACTGTGGAATAAAAAAAATGCCTATGTCCTACTTGGTGCTATATTTTAGGAGAGATTTTTAACAGTGAAGGAGCATGGGAGTGTGGAGTCCCCCATGTGCGGCACTGATGCCCCTGAACAATGGACCTGTGCAACTGGAGAGTGTGAGCTGCTTCCTTAGAAAGGCAGGGGTGGGAGGGTGGGAGGATGGGAGGATGGGGGTGGCGGTGACTCCAGCCCTGCACTTCCTGGCTTGACTTCATTGCTTTGGTCAGTCAGGTAGCTGCTGGGAATCACCTTCGGCCCCTGGCCCCGCAGAGATATTCCAGAAGGAAATGAAAAATACTTTGTCCTTCACCGGCAGTTGGACTTATGTTTTGGGGGCACAGATAACTAGAAGTTCAAGGTTTGTAAAAACCTCGGATGCTGAATGAGTTTAATAAACTGTAGAAACACCTGCATCTTCTAGCCTTATTCAAAGAAAGCTCTGCCGAGTCACTAAACAAGGTAACTACCAGGCCGAGGGGTGGAGTTCTAAAATGCCGTGTGGTGCCCGTGTCTGGTCGGTGTTCTCCCTCCGCCGCCCTGGGATTTGAACTTCCTGGAGGACACGCACCGGCACAGCCCACGTTCCTCCAGCAGCCGGGTAAATGGCATGTTGGTCGGCACCACGTTGATTTAGATTTTAATTAGAAAAGTTCTTTTCTGGGTATCTCACATTGAGCGTTCATGTCCATAAAGACAGTAGCTGTATCTGTGTATCTATTTTAAAACTGTTTTGTTTGTAAGGGAATGTTTTCTTACTGCAGGCACTGTGTCGGTCTTTATAAACACGCACATGTGAAGTTAGAGGAGAGATGTGCTGAGCACCTTCTCTGTGTAGTGGTGAAGGTCAGGCACCCCATGATCTAATACTCACTCAGTCTGGTGGTTGAAGAAAAGGCTGCAGCTTTGCCCGAGGGAAAGCTTCATCATCTCCTTAGCAGATTTCTACAAAAGGGATTTATTCATTGCTTCAAGCCCCAAGTGTGGCCGGTGTGTTTTGCTGCATGGGTATGTCAGCATTGCACCTCAGAGGGGACATCTGTGTAAGGGGCTCCTGGGGGGGGGATCCGCACCCCCACAGCCCTGCCCGGAGCGTCACTCACCCTCCTCCTCTGCATCCAGCTCACCTGCCATGGTGGCTGAGCGCAGCCGAACAAGCTTGACGAACAGGAGAGGGCAGGGCGTCGGGACAGAGGAGAAGACGGGCCCAGCACGGCTTCTGGCCCACAGCGTTAGTTAATTCGTTCTGCAAACGTTTATTGAAAAGACAGCATGTCGGGCATTGCTCCAATCCCCGAGGAAGAGCGATGGGAAGGCAAGAAGCACCGCAGTTTCTGCTCTTGTCGGTTAAAGCTTCTCACCTCCTGGCCGTTCGTTAATGTTGGCGGAGCGAACGGAGGCCTAGATGCAGGAAGTGGCAGCAGGGGTGACAGTTGGGGGCAGCTGCGGCCTCCCACTTTGTCTACCTGTAGAGATCGAACCCCAAGTCACCGTCCTAATTTGGGGATTCCATTCTCTCTGCATGGCCCACGTAGCCCGTGTATACCAGCAAGCTCACTCTTTTATTTAAAATACGAAATTCAGGTCCCCTCGGGGAGGGAAGCGGCTGAGGGTGCTGGTGTGGACCGGCTCTCTGCGTTACCTTGGAGCAGCTCAGTTAAAACCTCTCCCAGAGAACCGCCAGGTGGCACCTGTACGGCGCAGATGGGGACACTCATCTACCCCACACCCAGCAGCCGGGAATAACCAGGCTGCCCGCCTTCCCCTGTGCGCGGTTGGCGAGGGAGTGGGGGAGTTTGAGCCTCCGTTCAGACTGTGATTACGTACCCCGTTTTCCTGACACTCTAAACACGCAGAGTGCGCATTTGTCCCCACGCACCCAGGCTGCCAAAGGAGCACACGCTAGTTGGGATTGGCTCGGCTTCAGCGATCAGCCACAACGCGGGGATGGCGGTGGGGGGCCGTAGGCTGCGCTGAGCCAATGCCCGGGTCTTTGCCGTCAGACCTCTACGGGGCAGCGGCGGAGGCGGGTGGCAAGAGAGACAGGTCCCAGGGTGACGGCAGGCAGAAGACCGAGGAGCGGGGGACACCGCTCCTCCCCGCTCCCCCACCCCTCCCCGGGTCTGGGCTGACGCTGCCAGCGCCCTCCTCCCGTGGCTTCTCCCGCCCCGGCCGCTGAGCGGCGGCCCCGGGTCACCGGTCACCACCCGCAGCCCCGCTCGCAGAGGGTCCCAGCAGAGGGTCAGGGCCGGGGGTGTCCGCACGCAGAGCAAACGTGTTTCGGTCATTTCGAGCTAGGTGGCCGGGGCGCCAACTCCACTCCACCGGTAGCGGGGAGCGAGCTGCGCCAGTTGCGCGACCGTCACTGCCGCCTCTTGTTTTCGGCCGCTGGTGACATTGGGAGGAGACCGCTGGGAAGGTGCAGGGAGGAAGGGGAGCAGGGAGGGTGGGGGTGGGGGGAGAAAGTAGCGATTGTGCCAGGGGGCGTGTGAGCAGTCGGAGAGGCAGCTGCGCTGGTGACAACTTCGCCGGGGCGCGCGCGGCGGGCGGGAGGGGAGCGAGCGGCGAGCGCGGGAGCCCCAGGGAGCGGCGGGTGCCTCGGGAGCCGCGGCCCGCGCCCTGCGCCGCCGCCGCCGCCGCTGCTCCCAGCCTCTCGCTTCGCAGCCCGGGGCGCCTGGCTCCCGTCTATAAATAGCAGGTCACGGCTCTGCTCTGCGCGCACCCGCACCCCGCGAACGCCGGAAAGTCGGGCTCAAAGTGTCTGCTGCCGCCGCCGCCGCCCCCCACTCCGCCTCCGGGAGGTAATTACCCGTCTGGGATCCGAGGGCTCGCGGGGGCCTTGCAGGGTGCGGTGGGTGACGATGGGCGATTCGGGAGGCGTTGGAGCGGGGCCTCGAGCGCAGGGGCATGTCCTGGAGGGGGGAGCCTGTCTGTGTTGCCTCAAGTTTCTCAGCGTTGCAGACCCCGTAGCCCCTCCAGCCCTGTCGCCTGAGGAAGGGGTGGGGTGGGCTGTGTCTCCCTGGTGGCTGGGGTATCCCGGTGGCGGCGCCCACCCTCTCTCCGAGCTCCCCTCGGCCGGGCCGGCGCGCGTGCTCACCCTTACCCACTCACTCTCTGGGCCCCGCTAACTCTGAGCTTTGGCCTCACTGACCTGCCAAGGCTGCGCCCACCTGTGTGGTCCCTTTGGAGCACCTGCAGTGGCCTCGGGGCTCGCTCCCAACCCCATCCGGGCCGCAGAACTGCCTTGCCCTCTCCCTGCCCTCCTGCCTCGCCTGGTCCTTAAGGCGAAGGTCCGGGGTGGGGGTGGGGGTAGGAGTAGGGGTGGGAGCGAGGATCACTGGTACCGAGGTCTCACTTCCCCCAAGTCCTGGGTTTTCCTAAAGAGCCCCTCTCCACGACCACCCCACCCCCACCCCCAGCAACTCATTCCAGCCAAGGAATCAGGCACGTCTGTTCTTGGCCACCAAGCCTCACTTGTCCTACCCGAAAGAGGTCTCACTAAAGGGTTAGAAATCGCCGGCCTTGGAGGGAGGCCGCAGGTGGGGAGGGGGGCGGGGTACGGAATCAATCCTTGGAGTCTGAAAACTGCGCTGCCAGCCCCGCCAGCCCTCGGGGCACCTCTGGCAGAAAGGCCCAGGCCCCAGGAGGTCTAGGAGGGGCTGGTTCCTGCGCGGACTTTCAGGCTGGTAGCTGGGACTCAGAGGAGGATGTTCGACTGCACAAGACCTGTTTTTGCCCCTCCCCACGCCTCTGAAATCGGCCTCCTTTTGGGCGATTCTTTCTGCCATCACCCCCAACCCCCACCTTCCGTGGAGAAGGACCAGCGTCTTCTGTGTGGGGCCAAGAGGTTTTAGAAGAGTGAGGATCTGGGTATTGATTAGGGTTCTGCTGCTGCTGCTGCAAAAACTTACTGGGAAAACCCGGGAGGGTTTTCTGTTACTCTTGGTTTAATGATGCAGATCCGCTCCTTTGCCTCTGTTTTTCTTCTGGGGACCAGGCTTGCTCCCTCTTCCTGAGATGTTGTTTGAGGTCATTAGGTTTTATGACTCCAGGTGCTGCAGTTTGCCTGTCTTCTTTTTCTCAGTGTGACAGGACTTGTTTAAAAAGGTGTGGCTCTACCAAATAAGTAAAAGCCTAGAAGACAGCATAAATGCATCTTCTTCCCCTCAAGATGGGCACGAGATAGCCCGTGTGTAGGTGTCCACCTGCATTTCAAAGACCTTGCTTGTACCAGGAGTTCTCTGAGTGGGCTCTGGACCGGAACTGGTAGTAATCTGACGTAATGCTGAAGCAAAGGGTACAAAGAGCAAGGAGTCGCCAACAGGGCAGCTGGCTGGTGCTGTGCAAGAAGTTGAGTAAAAAGAGAACGGGGCAAGCGGGCAGCGTCCCACTTAGTAGGCAAAGAAATGCATTCTCTTGTGTTCCTGTGACGTACACTCCAAGGCAGCACTGGCCTGAGATTGGAACACATGTTCCGTGGCTTTGGTGCCAAGTGCATGGGCGTTAGACAGGGAGCTGCTTGGATCTGTGGTAATACAACACGCGACTGCATGGGGTGCCTTTTCAGCGTGCTTCTTTAACATGGGGTTTCGAAGACTGCCCTTGAAAGGTTGTGAACAGTGCTCGTGAACACAGCCTCGATGCACGGTGTCATCAGGGAGCACGTGCTGATGGAGACGCTGCTCTGATTTTAGGGGAATGTTCTCATTCTCTCTGAGTGGGCAGATTGCTATGTACATTTGTGGTAAACTCATCACATTGGTGATGACCAATTAGGATGTACATATTTATAACTGGACTTTGCTTTTGATCCTCTAGTCAAGCATGACGAAACCCAGGTAGATCAAGGTTAGTCTAGTCCCCGTAGCAGCTGTTTAAAGAAGCACAGGATCAAAGTTTTAGGCAGAAAATAGTTCCAAAATGTTGGGTTTGAACTTTGCTTTGGGGATACACATTGACTGAATGACTTCATTTCTCATAAGATTTTTGGCAAAATTTTCATAACATAGGCTCATCTGTTAAATCTGATGATAAAGTAATAATAATATTATATTTTAATTGTGTGAAATAGAAAATCATTTAGTTTAAGGAAAAGCCAGATATCTGTTCTAAATTGTGCAAATTGAAAGTAATTCATTTTTCTTCAGAAACCTGGGAGTTTCTTCTTGTACAAGAAATAGAAACCCCTACATGGAGAACAGTTAGCTTTCTCTGCTTCAAGATAAGACCCAAGAGGTTATTGTCCTAAAGACGATAAAAACCTGCAAACTGATCTATCCCTTAGCAACCAAATGGATGTCAGTTTCCAGGTAAGTACCTGACATCTGAGAATACAAAAGTAAAAAAAAAAAAATATGGCAAAGTCATTATTAGGGAATAAAATGCTTCCTGAATATCTATTACATTTTCTGATTTCACAATCCCCAGCCAGTACTAATATTGCATACACAAGTATTATACTTTTTGTAATAGGTATGGAAAAAATCCTTGTCTTTCATAACCATGGGGATATTAATAGATAGAAATGTGCCATTTCAAATAATCTCAAGTTAAATGTTAGTGTTCAGTTGAAAGCAGTGTGTCTCTTCTGTATTCTGTACCTTAAGTTTTCAACAGCCCTGGGCAACCTGCCCCTTGGGCTCTGTGGTTACTACATTTTAATGTTGCGTCGGGAACCCCTGATTGTCGAGCTTCTTGGGACATACTCCCACTCATAAATACACATACTTTCATACTCAGGCTTAAGAAAGCAGGTTGCTAGACAAATGATTTCAGTTTAAACATTTATTTTTAAATAAGTCCAGTGGTGCTCTGATTGCATTTTGGTGGGCTAGAGGAAGTCAGCCTTTGTTTTCCGAAACTTGAGGTGCGTACCCAGAAAGTGCATTAATATACTTGAGAAAATATTAAGGCATCTTCAGAGTCCTGGGCAGAATTTTCATTTGAATCCAGACTTATTTGTTCATTCACTTTATATGTTTTTACTATTGTGTAGATTAATGGGAGCACTTTAAAAATTCTTATGGAATTTTATTATTATAGCTACGTTGTATATGTGTCTACACCTGCAGCAGGTTTTTTTTTTCCTATATAAGGCCCAGTTGTAATCACTGTCTCATTTACTGGAACTCTCTTGTTTTCGACGGTTATACCACGAGGCCGACGAATAGCGAGGAGTAACAACTTTAAATGTTTTTTACAGTTGACTTTGTAATTTGACCGAATGTTGAGCTATCATCATAGATGTAATCCCCACGTGGGGTAAAGGGCTGCATTTCAATATAACGTGTTTGTAAGTCACGTTTTCCATACTGAGTTTCTTAAATTGCAGTATTGTAGGGTTTGTCTTCCCAGTTGGGCAGCCACACCACCTGGGTGCCCTGACTGTGTGGCGCAGGCTTTCTAGCAGCAGAACTAAGGGAAGTAGACTGGGCGGTAATCGCTTGGTTAAGCTGATTACAGGGAATCTTGAGACGTTTTCTAGATCGTGTGACTTTGATCTGAGATTCCTTTGGGAATTATCTAAATTAATGAATTCAGGGGGATGGAGGCAACAGTTCCTTTAAAGGAGAAACAAACTTAACAAACCAACCTTCCTCCTCCCCTCCCTTCCTTCCCATACATTTGTCTATCATCTGTATATCTACTTTTAACTTGCCTTTTCCACTTATTAACATGAAGCACTGCAACAGGCCTAATGTTGAAATTACTGAGCAATGTTCTCTATCTTCCACATTTCCAAGGATGGAAACATTTGCGGGATGTATAAGCAGCCTTACTGAAGTACCTACAACAATGAAAAGTACCCAAGACAAAATAAAAATATAATTATTACAATTTTTATATACGAGTTGTTTTTAATGTATCATCTGTACGTTTTAAGTACTTTAAAACGAGAACGTGAGAGTTGTATGTTTCTCCCAAGGGAGTGTGATTGTTGAAAAGTTACACAACGATGATTCAAATGGAATCCTTTTAATATGTTTCACAATGAAAAACTTAGTTGACAGACATGTGAGTCATCCCTCACCTTAGTTCTTACACTATGTTGTTCTGGTATATTCAGTAGACCAAGCTGAATACAATGGCGCAAATAAAATGGACTCCCTAACGGTAGCAAAGTCAATTCCTTCCCTAATCCTCTCTTTTGACTGGGTCTCACTTCAAGTTCTCGGGGATTTAGTTTTCTAAAAGCCAAAAGATCAGAGATGAGCTCCAGCGATTAGCACAACTCAAACACAAAAATTATTCACCCCAGGAAAATAAAGTAAAACAAAAAACGAGTGGCATTTTCAATTGAAAGTATAACCTGTAGATGAGGGGAGATTATAGCTACGCCCTTAAGAAAGCTTGAAGAGTGTCATTAGTGATTATTTAACATCTTATTGAACATCTTCATATGCCAAACTTGCTAGATAATCACATATTCCACTTAGAGCATTGGCCTACATCACGTTCCTAATAGAATGTTTTGTATACTTGATGCCCAGTATTTAAAAAAATCACCCTTTAAACACTTTTTATTTCTAATGGCCTTCTTATATTGAAGCAGTTACAAGTAAATATGTTTCTGATCTGTCTTTCTGGATAAATTGCTTTAAAATCGAGGATTCCTACTTTCCGGAAGACGTGCATTGTGCGTTTGCACTGAGAGACGTCAGACACTAGGTGGCAGTGTGCAATGCTTAGTAGCCTTGGGTCATTTCAATTGCAATACATTCATCATTAAAACTTTTCTTTTAAACCCAACTTATTTACATCATAAGTGAATTAATGAAATTAAAATCAACAGGCAACTAAA